TATCACCCCAACGAAGCCAAGTTTGCCTCCCGGCCTATTCCGAAAGCTACTCCTGTTATTCTAGACGAATCCACCGGCGAAGAAATGTATATTGTCGAGAAACTGCTCAAGAAGCGACAGTTCAATCGCAAATTGGAGTACTTGGTCAAGTGGCATGGACAGCCCGAAAGCGAAGCCACGTGGGAACTGATGAAGGACATCAAGCATGTTGTGCACTTCAAGCAACTCGTCCAAGACTTGGAGTCAAGGCGTTTCAAGGTGTAGCAAGACGTCAGGGGGAGAATGCAGCGATGTGACAGGTGGGTTAACGGATAGCCACCACCTTGCCCGCACCCAGCTCCTAAGTACCTGGCTCATGACGAACCCTAGCTAATGCTTGCCTAGGAATGTGTCTCAAGGGCAAGTATGGCTTAGAACCGCTAGCCTAGTGAAGTTCCCGAATGTCTCAACCGCACCCGCATCCATTGTATACAAAAGTGCATATTAGTGTAGAAGTAGTGAAGTAGACTAAGAAGATTAGTGGTTGCGGTTGCATCCAATCCAGCAAAACATCATCTGTAGAGTCCAGTTGGTTGTTGCTACTACTCCGGTGTATTCGCATCTATTACTTCTACGTAATGAGGCCCCCCAAACTTCCGTGTTAAGTGTACAGTGCTTGCAGTGGTGTCGGGCAGGCTAGGATTCAACTTGATGCGGGGGGATCTGTGAAATATTCTACATATTACACTATTTAAGCCAACAGCAGCCACACGTAATACAGTGCTGCATGTAAAGTATTTGTTGGGAAAGGGCTTTATAACAGTGCAAGGGGGGGAGACTGCATGTTGTATTCAGACATTATCAACTATTCAATCAATTGCCAACTACAAGTAATGTAGATACATTATAGCGGCCCCTAACTAAACGTTAACGCTAGTGCCTAATATTCGCCACGTTAACCACCCTATATTACCTGTCCCCCCTTCACTATGAACTACTTCGACTACGAAGTACTACGTACTGTACGTCTTGACCTACCTGAACATACTTTTCGTTCAGAATCTGGTAAATTGTTCAATTCTATGTAGACTATACTGTACATGATACCATACCGGCATCGTCGATGAAAACAATGGATGGACTACATAGTATCGGTGCAGTAAAGTACAGAGACCACCGCCTAATCATCCGTGAAATGGGCGACCGTCAAGGCTTTGAACTACAAACGCTTTACCTATCGAACTCCTTCAACTCATGCGAGCAAGAACTATTCAGAGTTTAATACAAACCTTAAACTCTGTTAGTGAAACATGTAGCTCACCTAATACATACATGAGGCCATTAAGTGCCCGCTGAGCGATGTTAACTTTACAGCGTAATACTTCAAGTATCAATGAGCACTATGTATGTGTATGCACATGTAGAACGGAGATGCTCAGCACCACCGATGCTGTCATTCAGCTTTGATCGCTGCCATTGTAGCGATGTGCACCCCCTTTGATGTACGAAACCAAAATTTATACAACCCCTCTGTAGAACCCTCTACAATAATTGGCCCCCCAGCCCTATGGACAATGCGCATTCTGTATTCTACCGCTAGCGCACTCAAATATGCAATCTACACACTGAATCGCATACTGCTAGAGAATTCACTTTAACAATTACAGTATGTAGCGTGGGGGGATGCTGTGGAGTAGAGTTACTGTGGAGGGTACCGAAGGGCCGTGCATGGTGTAAACTATGCAGGGGTTGCACATCGCTGCAATTGTAAGCATCAACACTACGAGGTAGTCATAATGACGTGTAGACATATCGGTTGTGTGTGAATCTAATTTCGTCGTGACGGAGATATTACCTCATGGTGGTGTTGGTTGGTGTTGCCCACACCACCAACCAACTCCACCATACAATCCGCCATTCTTCCCGCAACACCCCATACACCTCTCTCACATCAGGCTTTCGTCCACACGTCTGCGATGCTTGTCATATTCAACACAACACAATGTCCACGCTACACCATTCACCCGCCAAGAGGAAGTCGAAAGACGACGTGAACAGGTGTGTTGTACCTTTACAACAATCCATAACTGTAATGTCAACAGATCTCGCTTGAAGCCTCGAAAATCTGGGCAGCGAAAAGCAGCCCAAGGTCTTGACGCCACCAACGATGAACCTCCCTCACGTAGTGCAGATATTGCATTCAGTGTAACTCAGAAGTAATGAAACGATTGCTGCGCTTAGTACATGGAGTAGCGTAGAAGCCTCAGTTGTTTCCTGGGTATTTTCGGTAGGATTCTGTAAGTTTGCTACATGACATGAAGTTTTCGTAAGTTTTCTGAATTTCTTCGAAAGTTTCAGAAGTTTTCGGAAGGTTTTCAAAGTTTTCAATAGTTTTACAGTTTTCGGAAGTTTTCAATAGTTTCCGAAGTTTTCGATAGTTTTTGGAAAACTTCTGAAATTTGACTGAGTTAGGTTTGACGAAGTAAATGAAGAATGTTTATGATATACTAGTATGAAGCAATCGGAAGTTACGTTATATAACTACTTCATTACACATGGCCTAAGGTTTTCAACATCTTCGTCACTTAGTCGCTTTGCTGGCGATTTTTGGACTTCGATGGTTCTTCAACTGCGATCTCAGTAGTCTGGGGATGCACTGGAATCGGTGGCAGTGGGAGGCCACGTTGTTTACACAAACTGCCAAGAATTCGAATAATTATCTCGGAGTGGACAGTAGTTGGGAGTGCAACAAGTCGCTCTAAATGAAAGTCAAAGTCATCGCCACCAAGATCTAATATTTCTCATCAGTAATAGCCTGATGAAACGAGGATACCGTTTTGACTGGGGGAGTCTTCTGAAGGGTTAGCCCTTTAATCAAAGTAACAAGGCATGGTTCACGCCCTTGCGCTCCTCGAAGTACTGTCGGGGTTGTAATGGGTTCTTTGCACCGTCCCACTCAATACTTTGAGCGTGCTCGTCTGATTGGTTCCTGATCAAGTGCTTGACGATGCTATCTTTGCGATAGCTGAGCTGACATTCGGCTCTCCGCAGAGCATACACGTCCGGGTCTCTCTGTTGTAGTCCCGCTTACGTTTACCATCGCTCATGGCCAAAGGTTGAAAAGAAAAGTCCTGAATCAAGAAGTCGTACTTGAAATTAGGTTAGGAGGTTCCGACACGAATTGTTATAACGTTATCCGGAATTAATTCCGATTAATGTCCAGATAAGACCGTGAGGCTTGTCCTCATGAGGCAATTTGTCACATCCCACAAATTCCACCAATGTGGATTAATTGGTAGACTTACTTGTGATGATGACCGTGGATGAATGCCGGAATGAATGTACTTGCATTTGACAGTGAATACAGTATTATCATTACTTCCTGTTACTATTAATCTGTAGTACGTCTTCACGTCAATACTGTAATACGTACTTAAGTACCGTTACTATTAAAACTGTAGTTAGTATTCAATACTGTAATACGGTACTGTAATATGCAGTTGTGCTATCCTTGAACCTGTGAAACCAAATGAAGCGATCAGTATTGCAAATTCTGTTGACATTCCCCGAGTGAGTGGGTGACACCCCCACTCAACCCACTCACTCAGGGAATTTGGTACTATTGACCTAAACGTCCCTGAGTAAGTGGGTGGGACTAATTGCTTGCTACGATAAGTACAATCCTATCGTTAACGTGAAACACGAAGGCATACAACGTTGTACACCGTTAATCGTACCAACGGTGAATGCTACGCACTGTAGGGGAGGCAGTTTTTCACTAGTGGTGTTTTGGGGTTTTGCTCATGGATGTTCAGGTAGAGTTAGACATGGGGATTCACTCGTGGTTAAATGGTGTGGTTGAGTTTTACTTAGTGGGCATTACTGGGTTGTTGCTTCATAGTCGAGCAGCCCAGTAAGTGTAAGTTTATATCCCTCCATCATAGTTAAACATAAAACAAGCAAAGAAGCAGTGGGCCCTATGTCTTTTCGAAGGCAATCGTGTTAGAGTTTTACTAGCTAGTGTAGTCACATCTCATTAGCTAAATCCTAGGCACATAGGGCACAGCGTATCACCAATATGCACGTAGCTATCCCCCTGTACTTCTTGCATTCATTTCATCAACATAACGTTAGCATACAGTTCGAATGCCTACCGTCGATACGCATGAGGCTAGGTATGCCCAAGTAATTCTCGTTTAGTTCCACAGTTTAACCACGAGCAAAACACCAACACATGACATTTTCAGTGGCCACCAGTAAAAAGTCAAATGGCCACAAGTTCTTATCCTATTCCCTTTACTGTAGTAGTAGTATTGTTAAACAGTACTTGTATTCAATTTAAGCTGTACCATTGCTGAAGTAATTCGAGTACGTACTGCTGGTGGCTCCAATTTCGAATCGATTTGACAATGTCAATGAACAATGTGAGTTAACGTTGTTTGTGTCTCCAGCTTCATAGCGTTGTCGGGTGGATGCTCTTGTTTTATTTGAAGTGCTTTTAATTCTCTAGACTTACAGTTACTGTTTGTGGCAGTGACATACACGAACACAATAATATATTTCGACAACTACAAATGCTCCTTATACGTCGAAGTTCTTCGGGGCATTAATCTATATACAAGTAACTACCTATTTCCCCCACCAACTTTTGCGTCCAATTTTCAGTGAGCTACGCGTCAGAGTAACTTGACGTCGCGGTCCACATCGAGCTTCATGCCCTCCATGAACCCGCCCAATTCCATCGCGTCGTCCAACTGTCGCACCGGCGACGTAAAATTGCCCGTTTCTTCCAGACGTGATAAAAACGTCGGCGACAACACCGATTGCTCAGCACCACTGTCGAGCAGTGTCGTCGCCTTGAGGCCATTGATGTCGCAATCCAAGGTGCGCTGAGCGCGCGCTTCGACCACATCGTTCGCAGCCACGGCTGCACCAATAAACTTGGTCTTCTTGTCCGTCTTCTTGTCCGGCGCGGCCACAGCAGCGACATGCGGTTTCTTGAACCGCTGGTCCAGGAGTCGCTGTGCTTCTCCGGCTTGGTACTTCGGGCACTTCAACACCTTGTGGTCTCTACCACACTTTAAACATCCCCTCGCATACGGGGCGCTTGTAGCGGTCATCACTGGGGCTCTGGGTGGCGCCCCGCTATCCGCTTTCTTCGTTGGTAATTGGCGCCGCGGTTTTTCGACATATTCCGCGGCCGATTCGGCTCCAGCTTTGGATCCATCGCAACTAATTGCGACTCGAACAACATGAAGTTGTCCATTAGGGACACTAACCAGCGGCAGAATGACTTGACTTCGGACTTGTACGCCTTGTTAGCTTCACACGTCAACTGTCGCTCGACAGTTGCCTTCAACTGCGACGGTCGAATCGCCGCCGTGAGGATCTTGACCGACTGCTTCGGTTCCTGCTCCGGCAAGTGCGCCACATCCAGTTGCTCCAACTTGTCGTAGAAATCGGCTAGCAGCCGACCGACTCGAGACTCAGCGTCACGGATCTTCGTGTCCATCTTGAGCGACGCCATCGCTTTCGCAACCGAGTCCAGGTCCAACTCTTGGACCTCACGCGCCGATAAAAAGTAATCGCGCCAGTCGTTTTCGGTAATTTCTTCAAACGACTTTCCAAAATCATGTGCGCACACACGCGGCACAATCTTCTGGTCAATGCATGCCGCGAACGGCATCAAAAACATGGTACCGCCCATGCCGCGGTTTAATACTTCCACGCGCCGCGAGTAGGCTAGATACTCGCGCTTCGTGCAACCCTTGTACATAGGTGCCAGCGGCACCTGTTGCACACCTATGAGGTTCTCCATGCGGCTTGTCGGCGCCGCTTGTTCGGACGGAAATGGCGATCGTTGTTTGGTCGCTTCAGCGAATAATCCCCATCGCTCGCTATCCCGTCGGACCTTCTGGTTCAGCTCTTCTACCTTGTAGTTCTGCTGGCGCATCGCATCCGACGCCTGGCGGAGCATTTCTTGATGCGCTTCCGAGACCCTGGCTTGTTCGGCCATCGCTCGCTTAAGTTCGTTTTGCTGACGAACCAGTTCTTCTTGTTGACGTAAAAGAATCACTCGAGATTCTTCTTGTTCCAGGCGATTCTTCTCCATCGCCTTCGCCATCGCAAACTGTCGGGAAGACTCATCTTCAATCCGTTCGCCATAGCTTCTTGCTGCGCATGGAACTGCGCCAGCTATTCGTACGTCATTTCGTTGAAATGACTTAACGTCATCGCTGCTCGTTCCACGCTTTGCATCCGCAGCTCGTCCATCTCCACTTGGTTCGGCGGAGGCAATGGCACGGCCACCACGGTCTCCATAGACCGCGTTCCCGTCACACTAGCCAGGTTGCTCGTAAACGGCAGACTTCCTTGTTCCATACTCGTACGGCTGCTACTAAAGAATTCTTTGTTGCGTATCAACTTGACGGACCTTGCGAAGTCCGATCCAAAGGCAAATCATAAAGCGATCCAAAGGCAAATCATAAAGTGAATTCCCCCCAGTGGCAAGTAGACTCTGGGGCTTAACCCTAACCTAATCATACAGCTGCTGGGCAGCCAATAATCTAACTAGCGATTAGGATCACACCTAATCGAACACTCGGATACCTTCTTGGGAGGGGTTCAGGGGTTCTGCGAATGGCAAATTCGCAACAGGGTTACAATTCAATCAATGTGGAAGGAAACTCTTGGGTTGGGTTCTTTGAGTTCGGTGTAAATTGAATTAATGTGATTCTGAATTCACCGTTGGATTAAATGTGGTCGTCGACGAAGGGCTTAATGATAGTATCAAGTTAGGGCTGCGCAACTACTATTCATATAAACTCAAATATTCTGTTAATAATGCATTTCAAAGCACCAAATTAATACCTCACAATAAAGCCTGTCCGCCCCCCCAATCAAGTACATGGCTTACTGTACATCGCTATTATATGTATGTACAAAATATAGCTTGGATTGGGCTGTGTTCAGTTGGTAAAATAATACTGTATATATACTACGTAGTAGTTGGTGATGTGTGGCATAATTTCGGCCGGGCGTAGGAAGATGTGCTTTGTGTTATGTGATCTCCATAGCACTTTGCGAATTACACTGTAGTAGTCTCGATGTCAATTCTCCGGAGATTGTAACCTCGAAACCTTGTTAACTTTGGGGGATGATGCCAACAATATAGAGACTTCAAAAAATCCCAGCTTTAATGAGATGATGCAATGCTGCGAGATTTGCAGGTTGATTTGCTGTATATTTGCGCTATGAATACATCTTCGCGCTCCCTCATAGTACAGAATTCAATGTGGTCATAGGGGAAGGACTTTGAACAGTAAAATAAGGGGGGGCAACTAGCATTCAATCAATCCCAAGTAACATTACATCTCAAATCAGTACCATATTACCACCGTGTACCAGTTCCCTTCACTTATCCCGACATGTACTGCAGTTTTTTCACTTATTGAGCGATAATTTTCGTTTAGAATTTCGTAAAGTGCTCATTATGACTGTCGTATATCGCTAGTAAACACATACACCTTACTGTCAGTGGAACGGGAGGTCATCAAGGCTTGAAACTACTACCTCTGTTCCGAAATAAATCAAACAATCGCAAAACTTGACTTTCGGAAATAAATCAAACAAATTTTGACGCAGAGCTATCAAAAAAATATTTATGATTAAGTATGCAAGAAAGTGTATTTAATTATGTCACAATCCCATGTCCTCAAGCAGGTTGCTAATTTCCGCCATTTCCAAGGCCTCCGCAATTTCTTGAGATAGGTCTTGGAGTCTCTTGTCGATGTCTTCTTCACCAAGTCTGGTGCAGCCGTCATTGAACACAGTAGGATCGCATGCAACAGTCTCGGGCAGCTTTCCGGCTAAGGCCAACTTCTTCTTTCCCATGTGTGGGATCCTGTAGTTGTTGTCACCGGCAGCCTTGATCACTTCTTGTAGGCACGACTGCAGCGTCATGAAGTTGCTGTCCAGCGTCGCCATGCTGACTTCGTTCCACGGTCTGAATGGCACGGAAGAATCCTAGATCCAACACATTCATGTCGGGTGAGTTCGGTGGCTGGCACACGCGTGGAGGGTTGTCGTGGGGATGCCAAGTCTAGCGGCGACGGCGCGCATCGTTGTGCGTGAGGTTTTTGGCAGCTCCTTAAGTCGAGAAGAAATGTCATCATGTTTCAATTTACGTCCACATTTAACCTTTTGTGATGCTACGCTTTCGCAGATGCGCTGGTCATTGTTCAAGGCGACCTGTGCGCGTAGCCAGATCAAGCGGATCATGGAGCGAGTGACGCCGAACTTCCCAGCGACAAACTGAAACGAGCCGTGAGGCAATTTGCCTTCCCGAAGGCACGCCAGGAGCAGGTGGAGAACGTTTTGGCGCTGGTCGTTGTTTAAGTTGGCTTTCGGTGACGCGCGTATATTTCAAACTGAGCTGTTGATTTCGAGTCAATCATACGGATACACTGGTATTATCCGTAACCGGCTATCCGGATAACGATTTTATATGAAACAATGTATTAAATATTCAAACGTGACGGCCATCTATGATTGGTGGAATTTTGGTGGGAAAGCACTGCCATTGGATTCGTTGTTTTCTCCTCTATCCGGACATGTTCGTAGATTCAAGAATTTTTGTGTGTTGCACTTCATTTTCCATTTTTTCTGATTGTTTGATTTATTTCTGAACAGAGGTAGTATAAATTTTCAACTATCAAACGTTTGAAAATCAAGTGAAGCATAATTTTCGGGAAATAATCTCAAGTAGGCATGATCAACAAACACTACAAATACTACGACAATCTAACCCTCAAATAATGCAAGCCATGTTTTTATTGGAGCAACTGGTTCCATGAACTACTTTACTAGTATTGCCGCAGAGGTGAGCACTTAGGAAATCACTGCAATAAGTAAATTTGTCATATTCTCATGCACAATCAAATACTATACGTATAGTAGCAAAAACAAAAACAAACAATGACTCTTCAGGTCGATACTTGACCATTCGCAACGTGCAACAATGCTCATCAATGAGAAATGACGCCGTTGATTCAACACATCAAAATGACAAATCAATAAGCTAAGCTAAGGACAATACATTGTGCCAAGTCTTTCGTGTCATAGCGTTGCGCGTCAATAAATGGGATCTATCCAAGTGCTGTAATTCTCATTTTCATGGCTGTTTGCTGCGTCTCAACTTGACGGACCTTGCGAAGTCCGATCCAAAGGCAAATCACAAAGTGAATTCCCCCCAGTGGCAAGTAGACACTGGGGCTTAACCCTAACCTAATCATACAGCTGCTGGGCAGCCAATAATCTAACTATCGAATAGGATCACACCCAGGATATCCAACCTAATGGAACACTTGGATACTTTCTTGGGAGGGGTTCAGGGGTTCTGCGAATGGCAAATTCGCAACAAACCCCCCCAACGATTGCGTCACGCCCAACGCAGCTGCCATTGCCTTGACTTGGGGTTCGGCCTTGTTTGAGCGCACGTAGCGCTTGAACTCAGTTGGAATGTCTTCCAACAAGTTGGCCGCCGGCTCCCACGAGTCTTCAATTGCTTGTAGGCCGCACCAGTGCACACACATTTCAAAAGAGGCCATTCGATTGTTGTAGCGGCAGTCGAGGAACTGATCGATCACCTGGCTGTCGGCGTTGTGCGCAATGTGGCGCAGCAGTTCGTCCGTCACCTCCAAGGCGTCGTCGGCACAAAATCGCCCACGTCGAACTGTGCCATTTCCGCACCTTTTTTCTTCGATCTTACGGTTTTTCTGACGCTTTCTTGTCGCAGCGTCCAACACCGTCGCATGCATCTTGTCCAAGGCGGTTGCCATCGCCGCCATGTCATCATTTCGCCACGACAGTAAGTCGTGTAACGTTGTAACTTTTGTCGCCGCCGGACTTGGAATGCGATCCAAGGGCGACATCGCTCGGATACCCGTCATGGCAGTAATCGGTGCCACACCACCAAGTGTGTCGGACGGACTTTGGTTAAGGACCAACATCACCACTGGGACAATCAGCCGCCACTGGTCTGGCTGCATCAACCACTCGGACAGGAGTGCACGGAACGCCTTGAGGGTCGTTTTCATCGCACTTTCGACTGTTCCGTTCGCCCACGGACATCTAGCCGTGGTAAAATGATGATGTGCCCCCAGCGCATGCTTGAGTTCGGCAATCACCTCGTTCTTGAAGTGGGATCCCTGGTCACTCACCCAGTGATAACACATGCCAAAAACGCTGAACCACTGCAGCAAACAACGCGCCATA